AATTTGCAATTCCGAGACCATAGCACATATGTCTTCGGATTTCTCTTCAACGGCATTGGCCTTGTTGGTGTTCACTTCTTCCTTTTTCTTCTTGTATCTGCAGTCATTTTGGCGATGGCCTTTCTTTCCACAAAAGAAACAATTTCCAGAAAATTTCTTTTGGCCATTACCTGCCTTCTTGAACTTCTTGTCATTATTGACTTTGAAGTTCTTTGAAAACTTACTGGCTTCGGCAACATTAACTTTAGAGGAATCAACATTTTTGTTCTTGGAATCACGAGACTTAGTCTCTTCTTCTATTCTCAAGTGTTTTTGTAATTTCTCCAAAGTTATGTCATCTCTCTTATGAAGGAGTTTCTTTCTATAACCATTCCAACTTTGAGGCAACCTTCAATTCACGAAGTTTAGTAATAATGACTTGCAATTCATGTATTTGATCTAGAACGGACTTGGTGTCAACCATGACATATTCTAGAAATTTCAAGATAAGAAATTTGTCCGTATCTTCCTTCTCAGTTTTGTATTTGTATTCGAGAGCGTTCCAAATCTTCACCGGAGACTCCATCGAGTTGTAAAGATCGTAGAGCCTATCGGAGAGAGTGTTGAGAATATGACCCCGGCACATGATTTCATCATCTCCTCGCTTCTTCCTTGCGGTCTTCAATTCTTCAGAATCATCCTCCTTTGGTTCAGGAAGTGGCTCCAATTTCGGATCAAGTACATAGGCGATCTTAAGCACGGTGAGAAGAAAGAATAACTTTCCTTTCCAGCGGGTGAAGTTGGTACCATCAAAACGATCAAGTTGAACATTAGGATTGAGGAAAGACGTCATGTTCTTTTCAACCTCCATTGCAGCAAGACTAAAACCTTAAAGATTGTTGGGGAAATTCGGATTTGGGAGGATGAAAAGAATAGAGAATTTAGAAAGAAGGGTTTGAGGCGTATATGAATACTTTCCTTTAAGGTTTTATTTTCCCTCACTTCTCAAAGTTTGCTAACGAGTTCTAAATGGCAAATTACCCCCAAGATACAACAAACCCTTGAACACAATATCCAGCAAAAATATTGAGTTCCAGAACAATGTATGTAATCTGTATTTTCTGTAGTCCATCATATAAAGACAGGGATGCATGCATCCTCTTTAAGTGTTACAACCTTTCACATAAAGATACCTTTTCAATTTGATGGTTATCTTTTATATGCTGATGCACTTATAACAATAGTTATATCTATTGTTAATAAGTGCTCAGATATGTGAGAAAACATATCACAAATAGATACAATGGTTCGAGACCTTTTCAGATCACTAAAACACACGAACACATTTTCCGACGAAGATTTACGCTGCAGCGCTCAAACGCGCGATGCAGCCCGCCCGTGCGCTGCAGCGCACGCTGCTGTGCGCTGCAGCGCGCGTGCCTAGCAAAACAGACCCGAGGGTCTGTTTTGCGCAGGCTGCAGCGCCCAAACGCGCGCTGCAGCGCGCACTCTTTCGCGCTGCAGCGCGTGCTTGCGTCAGCCTACTCTTTCCGAATGTGTTTTAATCCAATTTTGTGATATCAAGATTGAGAGATATATTACAATTTCTCTAACAAAAACCATTTCTTTCACATTGTATTACCAAATCATCCAATATTTGCAATACACCTATAACGCCAATCTCCTTGAGTGGATAAGGAACTTTTACAATCCGCAGGTTAACAAGGACGACATCAAGAAACCAGTGCGTCTTTAGCTTAATCGGAAAGTATATCTAAGATAGTAGAAGATATTCAATTGTTAACGATGTTATTACGATATACATATTCTTCACAATGATATTAACACGTAATCAAGGTTCATCACCAAAAATCTATGATCATATTCAATTGTTAACGATGTTATTACGATATACATATTCCTCACAATGATATTAACACGTAATCAAGGTTCATCACCAAAAATCTATCATCCAAACCATTGTCAATTTTACTATCGTCTCATACCTTCTCGCACCGTGAGATGTTTTTCATCCACATTGCACGGTCCAAATTTTGCCATCTGCCTTCTTCACCCGGTCTCTACCACAACAATTATTCTTTTACTTATCATGGTATTAGTAGAAGACATTTCAATCTTTTATTATTTCCAATTTCTTTATCCTTGCAGAACATGGCCAATCATAAAGCAAAAAAAAAAAAAAAAAAAAAAAAAAAAAAATTTTTTTTATCTAACAAAAGCTCCAAATAAAAAAAAAAAAAAAAAAAAAAAAAAAAAAAAAAAAAAAAAACGTATTTCCATATAAGTTTTCATTACATCTATTTACACAAAGACAATAATACATATCGATATACGTTGGTATCCACCATAACTTGCTGTTACAACCACGAACTTTGTGCTCTTCTATTGTCAACAACTCAGCCACAACATCTACAATCTGCGAAACATTTAATATATATATATATATATATATATCAATATACCACGCACTTCATTGAAAAAATTCATTCAGCATGTTCATATACGTTGTTTAAACAACTTGCTTTAAACACTAGAACACATACGTTGTTCTCCATCAACTTGTTTGGAGATAGAGACAAGATTTCCACCCTTTGAACAATGAACGTGCTTGTCCTGACTACAATCTCCCTGAAATTTCCCATCATCAACATTCTCTTTTATACAAATATACTAAATAAGATATAGTTTCCCTATTACCTTTGATGGTACGATACCGTGTTCCAACGTACCTTTCATCACAACAACTCTCATTCAACGTTGTTAGACGACATGAACGCCCCAACCTTCTCATCCGTAAAAACCCCATTTAGGCCTTCGACAATATCACGGTCCCTTCCCTTCATTTCATCATCTTCCTTCGATCCTGTTAACCAGTTCTCTAATTCCATTAACGCTGCATCTTAGTTCCACTACTCGTAACAGTTGATTCTTAATCCATTTTTAAACACTACTTCCATCCTATCATGAATATTCAGAACACTTTTCTTTCCATTTTAAATTGTGCTAATTACTACCTTTTAACCCATCACTTGTATCCCAAATCAAAATATGGTTTACAATTGCTATTTCTATTCGACCAAGTTCTTCGTTTTCATCCTCTCCTACCATCAGTTGCCCTAATTTATTACCTGGACTCTCACTTTGTGCTTTGTTTCACCGATTATGAACTCCCATTTTCACGAGGGAATCCGCTGCGTTCACATAGTTTTTGCCTGCGGATTTCCACTTCTTCCCCAAAGTTTTTCTCGGCTCCTGCGTTTTCCAACCGTCCGCGTCCCTTGCCCCTTATTCCGCCGCCGCCGCCTTCTTCTTCCTCACATCATCTTCTCCGACCTAATTACTCACTCACTTAACCGTAGGTCCCACCAACTTTCACGATTTCAATATCCATGAGATAAACGACATAAATTTTTCACACTTAACGCCGTTAATTGGTTAACGTTCCCATGCTACAAGGTACATCCTTTTATCTCTTTTTTGTGGGACCCACGGTTGATTTATCATTTATTAACAATTGATTTTATTTTTTTATAATTAAAATTATTCAAATTAAATACTGATTTTTAAGAATTATTTTTTACTTTTTATAAATAAATAAAAATTTCAACCAGATTGTAGTTGTGGAACCTCCGTCTGTTTTGAGAAGTTTGACTTTATTTTGAATCATAATTATTAGTTACAGTATTTTTTTTTCATAATCCTTCACACTTGTACAAAAGAATCTTAGAGACAAACTTTTCCTACTCTAACAAGGCCGAGGCGGGGATGGCAACGGCGATGTCGATGTCGACGACGACGGCGACGGCGACGACGGCGAAAACGACGTCTTTGATGAGCGTCAGCCTCCGACGAAGCTGGAGCTTAAAGGCGTTCTCCGTCAAAGCAGCTTCTTCACGTTGTTCAACTTCAGAATTCGACCCAAAAATCCCGATCGAAAAAGCACCAACTCCTCCCTTCTCCTGGTACTCTCTCCCCTCTTTTCACTCCCTGGAGCTCGATCGAATCTTCTATAAAACCTGGCAGGTCGTAGGTATTTCTTTACTTTCTCTTTCTCTCTCTCTTTCCGTTTCTCTCTCTATAAATATATGTATATATGTGTATGTATATATATATATGCCATTCAATTGTATGTGTTAGTGAGTGTTGAGATGATTCTCAGGGTGCAGTGAAGAGATTAAGGATCCTGGAGACTATTTCACTGGCAGGTCATTTCTTTCAACACTACTTTACTGGTCGTTGGAAATCTCTATGCTCTATTGTTAGGATTTTGACAAAATTTACTTCTTCAGCTTTTGTAGTTGGTCAAAGTGCAACTCTTTTTTCTGTAAAGTTTCAACTTTTCACATCATGGGCATGTGGTTTCTTCTGTTAACCGTTATTTATCACCATTAGTGGTTAGCATGTGTAGCTTACCACATAGTTAACTCTGTTTCTGTAAGATCTTAAATTACAAAAATATGTATGTGATTTAAAACTTGAAAATTCGTAGTTAATTTTTCGGTGGTGAGAGACTAAAAACTGCTATGAAAGAAAAGAGAAAGAGAATAAATTTAGGGAGTAATTAATGAGGACCAAATTGTCGCAATGCGCATTTGGTAAATAACTTGGCTTTTATTGTTAATAGTGAAAGGAAAGAATTTTCACTCCAAATTTGGCCGATTTAAATGAATAGTATGAATTTTTTTGAAGCAGAGTTGGAAGCGTCGAGTTTGTGGTGTGTAGAGATGATAATGGGAAGGTTCGTGCATTCCACAATGTCTGTCGTCACCATGCTTCGCTTCTTGCTTATGGAAGTGGGAAAAAGTCTTGCTTTGTGTGCCCTTATCATGTGAGCTTTTTTGCTTGCTATTTGCATTTCTACATGTTGACTCCGAGCAGAATCTGCTCATTTGTGCTATTCGAAAACCATTGGGCTGTCATGATTGAGATTAGGGAATTCTTGCTAAACTGTACTGGGACGTAATGTGAGGGAAACTTTTTCGAAAGGAAAGAATAAGGAAGGGGATTATTGATAGTTATTTACCTGTTTGGAATTGAATTGGAAACAATTTATTTCCTTTTCCTAGTGTTTAATAACTTCAGAAAGTATAAAAATGTTATTGGCGCATGTAATTGCTGATTAAGGCTTTTACGGCATTATATGCTTGTGGGAGTCATCTGAACCGAAGTTCTGGTTATTGCACAAACTTATGCATGCCTCAGCTCATATATTTAGGCCTTTGACGATGGTTTGGTTATGGTTTTTTCTGTTTGTGTTGCTTGTCTTGAGCTAGACTTTGCATTTCCTTCTTTTTTTTTTTTTAGTTCAATAGTTTGCTGGTGGACGTAGACTTTACATGGGATCAGCACTTTGTTTGGGTGCCAAGTTATATCGGACGCGTTCCGGTTTCAATGATGCTTGTCTTTCTCTCTGATAAAAAAAAAAGGCGGACTCCAGTGCCAAAGAGGCTCCCGTACTATGATAGGCTCGGGGGAAAGCTCAATCCCCCGAGCCTAGAAAATTCATAAGAAATGAGAAGAATTGAGAAGAGAAAGATGAACTTTTATTGAATTGAAGAATGAATTACAGAAGCAGTACTTCGAGGGATTGCTGGTCCTCCCCTGCTTAGCTAATGAGCCAAGACTTCCCAAAATCACTCAGACTATTCTTGACCTCTCTCAGTTCCCAAACCCCCCTTTTAATATCCTCTGCCTTCTCTAACTAATTCCCTAACCAACTAGAGTCCACAGTAACTAACTAATAACATCCTTTCTAACAAACTACTAACTTCTCTAACCAACTAAAAAGTTCCTATCACTCTCTGTTGTGGGAAAAAAAAGGGTAGGTTCTTGAAAATCAACTTTCTAGATAAAGTTGCTATGTCGCCTTCATCATGCCTGCTTTGTAATTTTGCTGCACATGGATTTACAATGCTTTTGATTTCTTTCAGCTTAAATTTCATATTATATCAGTTGAAGTTTGAGAAAGATATAACTATATCATCTGTGCACTGTTCATTATGCAACATGTGTATTCACACTTTTGAACTTTTTAGGATTCTTGGATGATATAAGTAACTGAAATATGATCATTTTTTGTGTCTAAGCTATTATATCTGAAAATTTATTGCTTAAAGAAGTGAACTGCAATCTTTTTTGCAGGGATGGACTTATGGGTTAGACGGACCGCTTCTTAAGGCTACTAGAATAACGGGAATTCAGAATTTCAATGTAAATGTATGTTGGAATGTTGTCATGGCAAGGAATCTCATACACTCTAGTGTGAAATGTTCTCTAGTTGTAGTGATAATCTGATCTATTTTTCTGGGCATGGAAGGCAGGAATTTGGGCTAATACCAATTCAAGTAGCTATCTGGGGACCATTTGTTCTTCTCAATATGGAGCAGAAAGTTACTAGTGATGTAGATGATGTGGCAAATGAATGGCTTGGTAGCGCTTCAGAAGTGCTGAATACTAATGGAGTTGATTCTTCGCTAAGTTATATTTGTAGACGAGAATATACTATTGAATGTAACTGGAAGGTATGGTAAACATGATTCATTTGAAGATATATCATCGCCTGGAATATTGTCAAAACATCGCTTGAATTTTTTACCTCTCATGATCACTCTTAGTTTTAACTTATTGGAGGTTCATGTAGTTCAAAGAAAGCATTTCCCCTTCCTCCGTCTTTATCCCTTTTGCAATTTCGTTGAAGAAGATCAAGTTTTCTTCTTAAGGCTTCAATAGCTGAATGGCTTTATCATAACATCGAATTTCATTTCATTTTTATGTACTCTTATTCATGCACCAATGAAAACTTGGTACTTATTTCTTGCAGGTGTTCTGTGACAATTACTTGGATGGGGGATATCATGTTCCATATGCGCATAAAGGCCTCGCAAATGGTCTTAAGCTTGATTCCTACTCTACCACAGTATGCTTTACTGCCTTTTCCCTTCGTCGGTAATAACACATTTTGAAAATATGGTACTACCGTTGTTATGAAGAGGAGAGGGACCTTCATTTCCCGAAACTACTATTGTTGTTTGGTCATTTGATATTTTAGTTATTTGTTTCTAACTTAATGTTTAAATTTAAGTCTAAATGATCACTATTTGCGATATAGATATTTGAAAAGGTTAGCATCCAGATTTGTGAAGGTGGCTCGATGGAGGGGAAAGATGATTACGATCGACTTGGATCAAAAGCTTTCTATGCTTTTATTTATCCCAATTTTATGATTAATAGGTACAGAATTATGTAAAAAGGAAAATTGTTGAGTTATTTCCCGCTTCTATAAGCCAGCTCTGCTATTTTGTACTAAGACTGGGTATTATTTGATAAAGCTGAAGTATGTTTGTTGTAGGTATGGTCCATGGATGGATACCAACCTAGTACTCCCTTTAGGACCCAAGAAATGCCAAGTCGTGTTTGACTATTTTCTTGAACCTTCCCTTAAGGTAATTTATAGTTTATGTTTTTACCCGTTCATTTAATGTTGATAATCATGTTTCTTTGCATCTGCAAGTATGTAGTTAGACTGGAAATGTATATTCCAAAATCTTAAAGAATACATAGAATGTTATTAAGCCGCTTTTTATTGTCGAGTAAATTATTCAGTTGCTATCTGGGACTGCTTTTTATGTAAAAAGTAAAATTCAATTGTCCAAAGTCGTTGCTTAGCTTTTATACTTTTCCGGTTTAAGTTGGAAAAATGCTATCTATCACCATAGACAATACAATCACCCCAGAAGTGGCAGCATATCAGAATTGTCACATTGCAGTCTCGGAAACAATTGTCGTACTTTTTGCCCCGTAACTCGCGTCGTGCTGCTACATGGGTGCTGATGCATCTCTAAATAGCAATGCCTAGTTGTGTTATACTGTTATTTATCTTGGATTCAGCCTCAGGTCTGCTATGAGTCTGAACGAGTATGTTGTTGCTGGTGCTTTAAAAGGTTTTGACATGGGCCCTTTCTGGTTTATATCCTAAACTGAACCCAATAAATATGTTTATTGTAGATTGCATATAAAAAAATGAAATGGGATTGCAGCTTCCAAGAGTTCTAGGATGTTAAATATAATTATGCATCGTGTATTGAGCCTTGCTTTCTTTTGGAAGGGGGAAATTTACACCAAAATTTTGCATATTTTACACGGTTATATAACGAAGTATGTCTTTATTTATTTAAGTTTCTTGTTTGCCATAGGATGACAAAGATTTCATAAATAGAAGCTTACAAGACAGTGAAAGAGTACAGGTATTTTTCCTAACGCCTCCAGGATCATCATGTTATTATGATTGATTTTAAACATGACTATGCATCTTGGCGAGGATGTTCAGATGGAAGATGTGGCGCTATGTGAAGGTGTTCAAAGGGGGCTCGAGTCGCCGGCGTATTGTTTCGGTAGATATGCTCCAAAAGTTGAGAATGCTATGCACCATTTTCATTGTTTGCTTCATTCTAGCCTAAATGAATAATTGTGCTTAGACAAGAATGAACCAAAGTTGTTAGTTCTTATTCTTCCAATTCACTGTTGTTACATATTTCTCAAGTGCCATAATCCACGCTGTACATAAAATAAATTCAAGAACCGTTTTGTTCACACGGTTAGGTTTTTTGCCATTTGGCACAAACGCATTATTTGGCTATCTTAATTTTTATGTTCTTAATAGAGAATCTGGAAAGACGCTAATTAGAACTATGACCACGGTGTACATAATATAAGAAATGTACCAATGGGGTCTATTGACTTATTTAATTCTTTTTTTTTTTTTTTCATTTGTTAATGGCACAACAGGTCCATTAACTTTTTAGGTTTGTGACAATATGATCCCCGATCTAATTTTATGGGCAAAAATATTTCCGAATTAGATTTTAAAGGCAACAGTAGTCCTAACCACGAACATAAGTTTTGAATCACCATCACCCTGCGAGATCCTCTCCTCCTAGCCTCCAACATCGACAGGATCTGTGCCGCATTGATCTCCCCCAACCCGAACCCCACAGCGCCGATGCGATCTCTCCCTCAGCCCCCAACAGGAACTCCAGTTGTTGCCGCCCCAGAAGATTTTTGTCCATAAAATTATATTAGAACCTTGAAAGTTTAAGGACTTGCTGTGCCATTAACTCTTCTTTCTTATACAAGTTAAAAACTAAAGAAAAGTTTGTGGATATAAACTAAATGAGGTTAAGATTTTAAAACAAGAGGGAGAGAGAGAGAGAGATAAGAAACCTAAAATGCAAGCGTAAGTAGAAAGGGAACATCTGAAAATCACCTCATTTCTTTTCTGTTTAGTAGTTAAATTCTAAATTTACTTCCAAAGACCGTTAACAATGGAAGTGTTCAAGGGAAATAATCTTATTTTTATATTTTTGAATGTGAATTCTTGGTTCGCTATTGAGAGGTTAGTTGAGTATATTTTATTTGGGACAAATGAAATGAGCAAGAATATTACACTTCTTGGTTTGCTTCTTTCTTGAGACCAATTCTTCCCCGATGACAAAAAGCAAGAACTCAAAATAAATAAATAATTAAAAAAATACTTCAACTTATCTTCAACCCCATTAAGTGAAATCAAATTTACAACCAAAATAAAAAGCATTTCACACGTTGAGTAGAGATCACTAGTGTCTACAAACTTTCACTCCTCCCTAGATGAACAAGAGGATGGTAAATATATTCCTCAAAATTCCAAAGCAATAAAACTGCACAAAGTCAAATCAGTCAAAAAGTGACTGATCTTTTAAGTCATATTTGTTAGTAAGAGGTAAAAGGGGTAAAAAAAAAAAAAAAAAATCCAAAACCACCATGCACTAATGTGCAATTTTTTTTCAACTGATTAGAAAGAGAAGTATATTGAGAGGTCCAAGTAAATATGCACCATCGTGTTAGACCAGACTGATAAATGAAGCCACGAATCTCGCAAAATTATAAAACTTGACTTCTACTGACTAATCTGTAAAGAAAGAAAAAAAAAATGAGCGTTAGAACACTATATTTATAGAACCCCACATAAAAAAGCAACCGTTAACGTGGCAGAAAAAGAGGGAAAGAACTAATGAACAAAAAAACAATACTTGCGTCGTGATGATCCTGGCCGCGTGATGATCCTGGCTGTGATGATCCTCGCCGTGATGGTCTTAGCCGGCAAAACTGTAGGCATCTAATGAAATACGTGCTCAGAGGAGTTCGTGAAACGGGTATCAGTTTCCCAAGGACAGCAAGAGGCCAACTGCATGAAAGAGATCGGAAAATGGCGACAAAAGAAAAGAAGAAGATTAGGCTCTTAAACAATTACATATGCGTATTATTTCATATAGACTTACTATTAGTCATGCCACGTCCTTTTTAACATTGTTAATACCACCCAGAAGAAAAGAAAAAGGACATACAAAGTTGACTCTTAATTTTGTGTATCAAACAAACTACTTCACATCCGTGGAAGAACCAGCCAAATTACCATTTTGGAGTTTAAGATATTGGTTACCTGATAAAACCGATAGCAATGGAAACCAGCCAGTACTTCCAATTTAGCCTTACAGTCGTGGTGAACTTGCCAAGAAACTCAATAATCACGATCTACAAATAAGCAAAACATGAGCACGTGCAAGATTGGCCCCGCAGAAAACATGTAAGACTCTACTAGTATAATCTCACCTGAAGAACAACGGTGATTCCAACTATACCAATAAACAAGTAATTTTTAGTAATTCCTTTGAATATATTGAATTCATCAGGCTTCCTGGCATTGAACTCATTGAATATCTGCGAGAGGTGAGACGGCCATTATACCCATGAAACATAAACTTAATAAAATAAAAAATAAAATAAAAGCTGTGATAAAAATAAAAATAAACATTGCACTGAAAAAGATCCCACATGTGACGGAATGTGAAGGAATATCCGGTGAGATAACACCAAACCCACAAGCATTTAACAGAACAACAATATTTCATTGAAATTACATTCCTAGTATGAAGTTAATTTTTCAGTAATCAGATATAAGTTACAGGGACAAAGACCAAAAGAGAATTGAAATGAAAGGCAGTTCTCTCCAAAAGAAAAGGAAAAAAAACAAAAACAAAAAAACAAAAGAGGCGCAGCAACCAATACAATTAAAAACTTTAAAAATCAGACTTACTTGACAGATGACAAATGCATTGAATATCAGTGTGTTCTTCAGTTTGTTAGCATGGGCAAGCTCATCATGTTCCAAGCTCAGTAAACTCTTGCCGCGGAAATTGAGGACAAGCAGGACACTAACTTGATAAAAAGCCTGGAATTTGGCAGACAAACAATAATCTCACTAAACATAAATTCCCCAATTGTCGGCACCCTGAATTTTTCCGTCACTAGAAAGAAGACTGGTAAAGCATAATTACCTGGATCAACAAGTTTCTCCACATAATATTTGTTATGAGAGGTTCTCTGAAGATGTAAAAGGTCAATAGTTTAGATATATATATATATATACCAGACAACAATTTATGAAGAAAGAACAAACACAAACGAGGGAAGAGGAAAGTCATGGAAAAAACTCAAAGGCTGGAAGTGGAAAACTTACTTTCGGCCAACAGGGGGTCTGTGCATCAGGTGATCTGTTGGTGGTTCAGTAGCCAATGCTAGTGCACCAAGAGTGTCCATGATAAGATTAACCCAAAGAAGCTACAAGAAAAAAAGGACAATTATAGCTATCTGCAAACCGCACAGGCAAAGGAACAAATATAGGTCCGACGCACCAACCTGCACTGCGTTAAGTGGAACTTCACCAGAAGAAACTGCAGCAGCGACATTGATGATGAGCGCTGCAACGTTGACTGTAAGCTGGAACTGAATAAATTTCTGGATATTTGCATACACAGATCGGCCCCATCTAACAACCTATGTATAGATAGATGAAACAAAATAAATGATTTCAAATTCAGCTCCTCAAAGTGAAATAACCGCAATAACAAGATGTTACACCAAACACACACATACACGCACACACATATAGGAAGATGTCAATAACACCACTCATGAAGCTAATACAAGTATTGCTGGAATAAACACATATCCAATCCATATCCCCAGTGTTCAAACCAAAAACTCAAATTCCTATAATTCAAAAAAAAAAAAAAAAAAGTGCTTGGATCTCATTTCATGCATGTGTGTCAATGCACTCAGGAGTCACATCAGTGTATGTCCGTGCATACAGAAAGAGTGAAATGACATGGTATCCATCCTGTTTTAGCTAGAACGCATCAATTATTTCTGGTGAAATTGCTAATAGCATCTAAAACCTAAATATATGACAGTAACAAGTAGATAGAGTTAAACTACATATACTAATAATAATAATAATAAACCATCCCATACAAATAAATGTTTGTTTTTGATATAAATCTAAAATCAAAATAACGAGAATCAAATGAGAGGCAATCACTATTTATCTTAAAGTTATAAAAAAAGAAAAAAAAAACAAATAAAACAGAAGTTCATACACCAAAAGGGACTAACCTTCACAACTGAGGCAAAATTGTCATCCAAAATGATAATGTCCGAGCTTTCTTTGGCAACTTCAGTTCCTTGGATACCCATAGCAAGACCGATATCAGCCTATGCTCCAGGGGGAAGAAAAATGGAATTAGGATAATTGAACAAAACATGAAGCAGCTAGGAACCGGAAAATCATACATTGTACTGATTGATACTAAACTCTAAAAGAATATTGAGATGCAAGAAAAAGAAACAGTGCAATGATAGTAAGAACGACAACAAAATTAAGCCAAAAAGTAGATAACTGATGTAGAACATAAGAGCCCAGAGTTAAACCTCATGTAGGGCAGGAGCATCGTTGGTTCCATCTCCAGTCACAGCAACAATACGTCCCCTTCTCCTCAATGCTTGCACGAGCAAAAGCTTATCACTTGGGGAAGAACGTCCCATAACCTAACATCCAAGGAAGGAATTGTGTGAAAATTCACTGCTAAACTTAATCCGTGCTTACACACAGAGAAAACAACACAAAGACTGACAGATACGAGACACGTAAATCATACCGTGATTCTTTCAGCTACATCTTCTCTTCCTTTATCAGATAATGCACGGAATTCTTTTCCTTCAATGAGATTAGGCTCTGTAGCATCTGCTGCATCTGAACCTAGTATGCCGCATTCCAATGCAATTGCTTTGGCAGTTTGAATATTGTCACCGGTGAGCATCCGAACCTACAGCTCAGAAAAATTGGGAATTCTTTCATTTAACATGCCAAATACCCTTCAGTGACAGCAGTGACATTAATTAAAAACAGATCAAATTGCATTTATGTACAAACTCCCATCATGATTTTGGTTTACAAACAACATCTATAAATAAACATTAAACCCAAAAAGAGAGGGGGGGAAGAGGTAAGAACAAACGCCAAACCATGTTTTTTTATTTGTTATATTTGTTCTTTAAAACAGAAAATATAAACCCAAAAATTCAAAAGAAAAATGTGTAAAGAATGCAGAGAAATATCCAACCCCCTAGAAGTAATTCCTAAAAAATGCATATAATTGGCCACTAGTCGCATAGTAAAGGATTCATTACCATAAGCAACATGGTAATAACGCACACCAAACATAAAATATTTTAAATTGATGAACCTAGATAGATAGTAGAGTAGATTTGAATTATAAAAAGATTTCCTCCGCTACCACAAAGTATCAACCCAAGAGCTTACAGCAAACCTAATATTTATGCACTTAATATGTAAATGCAGAGTTTTTATTTTTTATTTTTTATTATTAATTGAAGAGTTATGCTGTAAACTATAACTAAAACATTCATGATTAACGAGGACAGCAGTTTCATCATCCTCCATGGTCAATCACAAGAAGGTTCGACATTCAAGCAATCCAACTTAGAGTATAAGACAATACCTTAACACCGGCAATCTGGCACAATCGAACTGCATCTCTTACTCCGGGCCTACAAGGGTCCTGCAAAAGAAAGCTCATAAAATGTTAGTGGAAAACATTGCTCAATTCTAGTGTTTTTGAAACATAAACAGTAAGATTTTCAAATAAAGATTGTTAACTTCAAGAAAAAAAAAAAAGAAAAAAAAAAAAAGAAAAAAAAAAAAAGAAAAAAAAAAAAAGAAAAAAAAAAAAAGAAAAAAAAAAACAGAAGAAGAAGAAGATGCTCACATAGGAAAGTACCTACAATAAACTAGAAAGATAATTTTAAGTGTAAAAACAAAGTGGATATGTTCTAGCAAAAAAAGCAAAGAGGGTATGAGCTAATTGAAAGATCAAGACCACAAGGATCACTAGTATTATCAAAAAGAACTATATAAGAAATTTCTTTTATGTACAATTCAAACTGAAAATGAAGAGCAATTTATAGCTAACCAATACCTTTATACCAACAATAGCAAGTAAAATAAGGTTATCCTCGGGTAATGCCCAACGAGATAGTTCTTCTTCATCAGTTGGAACACGTTCAAGTTCATATGTTCTATATGCAATAGCAACACAACGTAAAGTACGAGCAGCCATATCCTCAATTGCTCTTTTGAAAAATGTCACCTGAAAAGCAAGAGATCATTAGAAAGAACATAAAAATGAAGTAACATGGGGAAGGAAAAAAAAACAGAGAAAAAAGATAAAGGAGAGAGACAGAGAGAGAGAGAGAGAGAGGAGAGAATGTCATCCAATACAATTATATGACAATACCAAGAACAAATCATTCCATCTATCTTAAGTATCTTCCAAAAACTGTTATGTTAATCATGAATTAACAGTAGAATAGAAAAAATGCTTCCCGTGAGTAGAGAATTATACAACCAAATTTGGTCACTGAACTGAAGAAAGCCATTATATTCTCAAACCTGATCATCATCCATAGCTACCACATGATTAGTATCATCAATATACTGCGTACATGAAGCCAATACCATTTCAGCAGCCCCTTTCCAGTGTACATGAACTTGAGAGTCAGGCTGCAAATAAGGCATAAAGAGAATATCAGCCAAAAGTAAAACCAAATATTCTATATTAAACTGAAAAGCATGACTCCAAATAATAATAATAATAACAATAATAATAATAATAACCCCAATACACTGCATTTCTTTTTTTTCCCCACTATTTTTGCACGTTTATGCCTTCCACAGTGCTAATACCCACAAAGTTCTAACAGCATAGCATTCATACGAGAGAAACAAGTTAAAGAAGATGGTAACAAAACCGTAAAGTTCTTGGATTTAAAACTAAATAAAAAAAGACAACAAGAACAATCATCATCTGTATGTTTTGTGCTTAACATTTAAAATTGTGAGGGTGGCACAAAAGTGATTCCATTACAGTTTTTTGTTTTTGTTGCTTTCTCTTCAAGGACTGCTAGTCCTTTTTGTTTTCTAGTTTCATTTTCTAAAGCAGAATCTTCTTTTCTAATAATAATAAAGCGTATAACTCATTGCACCATCAAAAGAAATTTTTTACAAGGTAGACACTTGAGTACTTCTCTCAAAAAACATATAAGATGAAATAAATGACTTCCCTTCAGAATGCTTTGACCATTATGAAGCAAACACAACAAAGTAGACTAGCCATAAATAACTATAATACCAGTTTTACAGCAACACCGCCCCGTTTTTTCTCAGAGTTGAATGGAAACACATGAAGAATCGAAGATTCTGATCTAGCTGCTTCAAAATTCATTCCTATCTGTAAACAAAATATTCTAAACCCATTGATATTCAAAGTGAAATAAAATAGTAAAAGTAGGAAATAAAATAAATATAGAATATGAACCTGAATTCCCCAGGAAATAATAGCCTTTTCTGTTGGTGATCCAGAAACCTCTATTTCTCCACCATTCTACATATAAACACGCAACAGTATTTTTAGAATACTGATGAGCAACCAACGAAATAATAATAATAATGATGATGATGATGATGATGAAATGTACAAGTAATTTAAATACCTCAGGCACATAAACACCGCCATTTGTGTTCTGTGCAATGCCTTCAATCAGTAGAGAAGATACTAATGGAGGCAATCCTGACTTGTTATCAGGAGTATCGACTTTTTTCCCACCAGCATAAGCCTCAACAACAGTCATCTATATACCCCAGCAAATATGTGTGTAAGAATTAATGAAATTAGGAAACATGTTCCTGATTTAAGAATCCATTGTTGTCTCCGCACCAAAGCTCATTCACATGAGGTATAAGTGTAGAAGTAGACAAGCTAAAAAAAAGGAAAAAGAAATAAAAATAATAGCAACAAGATGGACAGAGTTTTGCTTCAGTGTACCTGGTTTAGAGTTAAGGTTCCAGTCTTATCACTGCATATAGTTTCTGCAGAACCCATTGTCTCACAAGCAGAGAGCCTACGAACCTGATTTTACACCCGTTATAACAAAGTATGCTCTGTGGCCCCAAAAAGGAAGCCCAACTTAAGATCTGATGGGGAAAAAACAAAAAACAAGAGGCATACCAAAGCTTTATCTGCCATCATTTTCCTCATTGAATAGGCAAGGCTGCACAAAGAGACAAAAAATTACCAAAAAAAAAAGAAAGGAATTAAATTAGTAGCATGAAGACATATTACAATAAAAAAATATATATTTTTCACATGCCCATAGTTTGTTAAATAAAAGCTGCAAGTTGCAGGATTCATGAAAACCAAAAAAAGGAAGAGTAAGAAAAGTTGCCCATTAAAGTACCTACCAAAAAAAATTATATAGTCCAAAACAATTCACTACCCTTGCAATGGAACTTTCAGTTTCTGAGATTGGGCGAGTGCCATTCATTTTGGACTAAGATATAGTACAGCCTATTTGGATAAGGGTTTTCACATAGAAGGTGAGGTGAGCTTACGTTAAGGTTACAGCTAAAGGAAGCCCTTCAGGCACTGCAACAACAACAATTGTGACCTGCAATATCCGATACATAAAGTTAAAAGATTTTTTAAAGACCTGCATGTTTTTATATGCATAAATATACATGAATAACATGTATGCATACCGCAACAGTGACGATTTTAATGGCTCCATCTACCGCATCACCAACTTTAGTCGTGCCTGCAATAAACTGACGCATTCCATCTGCATTTTTTGAATGGCCAGTGAAGTATCTGCAAAAGTTAAATGGTAAGATGTCAACTCAATATTTAGCTAGAGAGAGAAAGAGAGAGAGAGAGAGAGAGAGAAGATTTACCTGACCAGAAGTACAACCAAGACAGCAAAAGCTACAGAAAGTCCAACAATTCCAATGAAAGTTGCAACCCCATTTAAGCGTACCTATAAAAGGTCATCAAAAGGTAAACATTTTATACAAAGTGCAAAATGACAGACACATTAAAATTTACAATAGGAGAAAAAAAAAAGAAAAAAAAAGGAAAGAAAAAAGAAAGAAAAAAAAAAAAAGAAGGAAAAAAAAGACCCTACCTGCAAAGGTGTTTCTTCACCAGTGTCTTCTGAAATACTAGCCATGAGCAAACCCCACTCGGTATTAATTCCAACACTCGTCACCTGAGAAAATAAATATATACTAAATCACTGTAAGGAAAATAAAGGGCTTTGTTACATGCATCATTCATATATGCAATGTGCTGAAGCCATAGAAAGTATGCCCAGAAAAATCTATTAGAGAACCGTGCATATCAGAAGGAATAATGACAGATTATATGGTTAACTTCTATCGGTATCGATTTAATCAAAGAAACAAGCTCATGGATGACCTAGAATATAAATCATGAATAAATAGCAAAGACAATGAAGATGTATTAAAGTGTCATCAATTTCAAGCCTGAGGGCAAGTGCCAGAAGCATGAAAGTTTTTTTATTTAAAAAATTAAGAAAAAAAAAAGAAGTCTCAAAGATCTTCAAGGATATCCAAGAAGAAAAAGTACAAATAAACAGACCACGCATGAGAAGGCTAATAACCATGCATTATGGATTATTTTTATTTTTTTCAGAAGAACTAAAGGATACTACTCCTAAGGAATAAATTCAAAGCAATTAAACAATTAAATAACAAAATACAATGAATCCCAAGAATCGACCATCTAGATTTACACAGATTGAAACCATAGGAAATAACGTGAATGCTTTTGATCAAAGAATACCGTAAGAGTTTTAAAATCTTATGTTAGGTAGAATTTCTTGCACCAAAAACTTTAACACAAGCCACTGGAATTGCAAACTTCTTATTTTTGCATAACAAACTAAAAGTCGCAAATGTAGTGATTCGCTACCACTTCCACCTTAAAGGAATTTGTGTTGCAGTTATAGTGTTTCCTTAATCACCAAATATATTACATTTAACAGTCTAAAAATCCTCAAACCTATGTGCCATACTAGTATCCACATATCAAAATTAAAATACTAAATCGAGAAAAAGATAGGGTACATACACACTAGCAGACCTAGTGAAAAAGTAAAATAAGATCAACACATTAGGAAAAGAATAAGTAAAAAAAAAAAGTAATAAACAAAGAAACAGATAAAGAACCTCACCAGCATTGTGCCACTACCATCAGCTACTTTACACCCGGACATCAGAAATGGTTGCTTAGAGTCCTTATGAACCTGGAAAAAAATAAGTCAATGTATAAGATTCAAAATAGCAAACGGTAGTGGAAAACACATGCACAGAAAAACAACACAAAGGCTCACAATTTTGCTTTCACCGGTCATGCTGGATTCATCTATTGCGAGGGAGTAGCCAGAGATCAAAATACCATCAGCAGG